GGTTCCCTGCCTGCTGGCAGGCTCACCCCGGTCAGAGACACCCATGCTCCAGCCCAGCTCCGCAGCTCTGACCCTTCAAGAAACACCCCTTCCTGCTGGTCCCCACTGCTGCACACCCTGGAAGAGAGCCCCCTTCTCCCCTCCAGCCCCCAGCTGCCCACCTTTCCGAGTCTCCTTATTTTTTGCGGATGAAGCATGAGACATAATGAACGACCCATCCGAAATAAAATTTTGTGTGTTGATTGCTCCAACCTGTCCATGGCAGGCCCACTGTAAAGCTCCATCTGTCGGTGAGATCAGCCTTCTCCTCGCTGTCCAATCCTGGCACCGTTCGTGCACCACTTGTGCAATGCCACCGCCCCTCGGAACGTCTTGCTTGCAAGGAGTTCACATCTCTGTGCAGGGCTGCTGTCCACAATTTGTCTTCATAAGCTGCTGTAGGGATGAGGAGAACAGAGATGCCTAATCACATTTTATAGATGGTGAAAGTAACCACTCGCAGAAGCAGCCTCTCTGTGCGATGGTGGCTGGGGCCCCCAGGCGGGCAGGCTGCGGAGCCTGGCCCTCGTTCTGTCGGGGGCAGTGGACGGTGAGCCTGACACCCGTCGGGAAGCCAGTGTGAAGAAGGGGTCCCTGGGACACATGGGTCCAGGCTGCTTGCTGCATGCATGTGCTCAGAGTTAACACCCCTGCCGCCTAGACCAGGCCCCAGAGGGCCGAGTGCTGGACACTAAGGCACCCTGGCCTCAGACAGAGGATGCCAGAGGAGGGCTCCGAGCAGTCTGGGATGGGGACAGTCTTGCCACTCATCCCCAGTGATGATGGGGGAGGGAGCAGCCCAGGGATTCGGACAGCAAAAGGGAAGCTCCCAGCTCCCCGAGGCTCTGGTCTGGGTGCTGCAGACAATCACGGGGTGCCACGGAGCAGAGGCTCCACTTGGCCCTTTAGCAGGTGGGTGCTGGACATACGGTCACCTGGGCTCAGTGCCTGTGGGATGGCCCCGGCATCTGTTCTTCTTCACCAAGAGAAGGGGGGGAGGGCTGGGCCAGACATGGAATATGGGGTGAGTGTGGAGGGAAGACGGGGACCAGTAGCTCTGATGGAGGGGGCTGGGTTGAGGAGACCAGGGGGGCTGGGTGGGAGGGAGCTGGAAGAGAGAGCCTGGGTTGGAGGGGGCTGGAGGAGAGGGGAGACCAGGGGGCCTGGGTGGGAGGAGGCTGGAAGAGAGAGCCTGGGTTGGAGGGGGCTGGAAGAGAGGGGAGACCAGGGGGCCTGGGTGGCAGGGGGCTGGAGGAGAGGGGGGACCCGGGAGCGGTGGGAGGGTGGGGCAATGGCCTCAAGATGGAGGAAGAGACGGACTCCTGAGACCAAGAAGTCTGGGCGGGAAGAGAGGTCTGCCCGGTCTGTGAACTCCTGATCCTGCATGCTCCAGGGTCAACTCCAGCCCCGATTCCACCTCCCTCCTCAGCGCCCACAGGTAAATGTCCTTCCTGCGCAGGGGAGCAGGCCCACCACCAGGCTCCCCCTTAGGCCCCACTCCCTCCTCATGCCCAGGCCTCAGTCCCTTG